CGAAAACACCGGTGGTTGTGAGTGGTGGCGCCGCGGAGCACGCCGTGCGCCGGACTTGTAGCCAGGGCCGGCCGGCGCCGGTCGACGCGCGCGCGGAGCCGTCGAAGGCGCTTAGGCCTTGGACTTGGACTTCTTGGGGAGAAGCACGGCGTGGATGTTCGGGAGAACACCGCCCGACGCGATCGTGACCGAGCCGAGGAGCTTGTTGAGCTCCTCGTCGTTGCGGACGGCGAGCTGGAGGTGGCGGGGCACGATGCGCGCCTTCTTGTTGTCGCGGGCGGCGTTGCCCGCGAGCTCGAGGATCTCCGCGCAGAGGTACTCGAGGACCGCGCCCATGTAGACGCCGGCGCCGACGCCGACGCGGCCGGCGTACTTGCCCTTCTTCAGGAAGCGGTTGAGGCGCGCGACCGGGAACTGGAGCCCGGCCTTGGCCGCCTTGGAGGTGCCGGCCTTGCCGGACTTCTTGCCGCGTCCACCCTTTCCTTTGCCAGACATGATGTGATGTGTGTTGTACCTGGGGCGGGGGGGCGGTGAGCGAAGGCGTGCGGGGGGCGCGAGGTGGCGCGCGGCGGGCGGCGAACGGACGCGGGTCGGCACGAGTTGGTTCGTAAAACTGAGAGACGACCAAATCGCCTCGGGAGGACAAAAGATTTTTTGTACTTCCGAGGCAGCGAGCCGATAAAAAGATCAACTTGAACTCAACCTCCCGAAATACGGCCCGCCGATTGGTCGGACGGTTAGATCCCCGGCTCGCCGCGCACCGGAGGTACATCTCGAGAGGGCGCGAATCGGCCTCTCTCAGCTTTGCAAACCACACGCAAATCATCAAAATGGCCAAGACTCCCTCCAAGAAATCCGCCAAGGCGCCCAAGAAGGCCGCCGGCGGCAAGAAGAAGAAGACGCGCGTCGAGTCGTACTCCACGTACATCTACCGCGTGCTCAAGCAGGTGCACCCCGACACGGGCATCTCCAAGAAGGGCATGTCGATCATGAACTCGTTCATCAACGACATCTTCGAGCGCATCGCCCTCGAGGCCTCCAAGCTCTGCCGCTTCTCCAAGAAGGCGACGCTCTCGTCCCGCGAGATCCAGACCGCGGTCCGCCTCATGCTCCCCGGCGAGCTCTCCAAGCACGCCGTCTCCGAGGGCACCAAGGCCGTCACCAAGTTCTCGTCCTAAGCGCGAACTCGGCGACCGCGACCGTCGCCCCTCCTCGGGGGAGCGACGCCGTCGCGTCGGTCACCACCCACAACCACACCGGTGTTTTCGAACACCACCCTCTCGACGGAAGACTTCGCGACGGCTCGACGCGCTCGCGACGGCCCAGGCGGGTGGGCGGCGCCGCGCGCGCCCCCCCCGCGCCCCGAGAGGAGGTGCGGGCCATCGCGTTCGCCCGCGCGAGCGCGTCCGGTCGCCGCGCGGCCGGGGCGACGCGTTCGAGCCGGGGTTCGCCGACTGT